TGGGATTACAGGTGTGAACCACTGCGGCCGGCCTCATGCTGACCTGTTCAGACAGCATACTTCAGGTGTCAGAGGGGGCCTTTCCTGTGCATCTTCCATGCATACCTCTCATTCGTCCCTAGACAGGCTTGTTATTGATGCCAGTGAGTCTATCATCTTTGATCTGATGAGTTAAATTTTGGTCCCAGACTGAAAAGGTATGGTGTGTTTTTCATAAGAGCAGAAAAGCAGCATGAACATTTTCTATTTATGGTTATTAGCATGTACACAAAGGTGTATTAGCCATACCTTGCTGTAAAAAGGAGAATCTTTACAGAGCCTCTAAAACAAATAAAAAGCTGTTTATTACATTTCCAATAAAAACCAGTCAAGAAGTGAGAAACATCTGTAGCTCTTTTACAAGATCTAAAATGCTATCAGTAGGTCTCAGATTTAATCTAGTATTTAATTTAGGTTGGCCAATCCAGACAGTGCCTGGCATTTAAGGCTATATCCTTTATAAAACAAAACCAGAGCAGACTTGTAACAGAAAATTCTCAAAAACAGGGGCGAGGCAGGGGGTAGAGGGAGAGTTGAATCTGGATGAATTTTTTCTAGCTGTCAAGGCCCATATTGCTATTTTATAGCAAATGCTTCAGATTGTACAAGATAACACACAATTCAGTTGATTCTCTGAAGCAAATCTAAGGCTGATACGAAAAATGTTAACAGAGATATTTTGTAAAGAAACAGAGGAGCAGCGCTGCCCAGTAGATACATTATGCAAGCTACATATACAATTTAAAAATTTCTAGTAGCCACATTAAGGAAAAAAAAATTTCAATAATATATTTTATGTAATCCACTACACACAAATCATTTCAACCTTGTTTTTGAGAATTTCCCATTACAAGTCTTCTCTGATTTTGTTTTACAAAGGATATAACCTTAAATGCTAGGCAGTCTCAGGATTGGCTAACCTGTATTAAATACTAGATTAAATAGAAACTCTATTTCAGATCTTATAAGAGAGCTACAGATGTTTCTAATGTCCTGACTGATTTTATATAATCCATATAAAATATTGAGGTATTTCACATTTTTTTGTTCAAACTAAGTGTTTGAAATCCGGCATGTATTTTATGCTTACAACACATAATCAATTCAGACTAGCCACATTTCAGGTCCTCAGGAGCTACAAGTGGCTAGTGGTTATTACATTGGACAACAGGATATTGATTTACATTTCTTGTAAATACAGTTGTAAGGAACATAAAAGCAGATAAGAAAAAATGGAATTTTATCACACGAATTCAAGGACATTTTAATATTATTAGTAAAGCTATATAATTATCCTGATTGGTATTAAAAAGAAATTGAAATCCAAAACTAAAAGTAGGAATAACAAGGCTTAAACAAGATGACAAATATCATTCAAAATAACAATTTAAACACTAGGCTAGAAAGTTCTTTGTCACTACTATTCGTACGTGTTTTGCAGAGCTTTGACCAATTCAATAAGACCTGAACCAAAATTTGGTAGAGAAGAAAATAATAATTGATTGTAGATTATATGATTATATATCTAGAAAACCTAAGGGAAATAACTGAAAATTTATTTGAATCAGTGAGTTCAAAAAAATTACTAGGTACAAAATACATAAAATAACCAAAGTTTCGTAGGAAGAGAAAATAGAATTATCACTAAATTTGATTATATGTTATATGATTATGTATCTAAAAATCTAAGGGAAATAACTGAAAATTTAGTGAGTTCAGTAAGGGAACTAGATACAAAATAAATATAAAATCGGTAGCAGTAGCTAGTTTAGTCGGGTGTGGCGGTATGAACCTGTAGTCCCAGCTACTTGGGAGGCTAAGGGAGAAAGACGGCTGGAGCCCAGAAGATGGCTGCACTCCAGCCTGGGCGAGAGCAAGACTCGGTGTCTAACAAAAGAGTCAGTAACACTCATATATGCCATCAATAATGAAAAAGGAACGCATTTGATAGCAATGACAAAAAGCAAATACCTGAGAATGGAGAAGAGATTTCAAGGCTACTGCAACAAGTAATCATGTCATTATCAGAAATGTGGAGATCTAGAAAAGCGCGTGTTTGGGATATTATTTGTAATAGTGAAAAGTTGAAAACAATAATTTCCAACAGAAGTCATTAGGTGTAATATCGTGCATCCACCTGATGAAATAGTATGACTATTAAAATTCTGGACTGTAAAGATTGCTTTCTAACATGAAAAATTGCCATGGTAGAATATGAAGTCAGAGAAGAATGTAAGATCACAGTACTCTGAATTATTACAATTTAAAATATATATGTTTTAAAAAAAGAACAGGTCAGCATGAGAGCGGGGGCTGGCCCAGGGTTCACACACGAGGGCCTACAAATGCACACGGCAAGCACAGACATGAATAAATTCCTTTAGCTTGCATCTACAAAGTATTATGCCCAGTCTTTTTACTTTTACTTATTTTTTAACGTGTAATTGATAACCACCTGGTCTACCTGGGTTACCCCTGACTACACACTTACTAGCTGAGTAACCATGGACAACATACTTAATCACTTGGCACCTCCATTTCTTCATCTGTAAAACGGGGGAAATAAAAATATCTATTTCAGAGTTTGAGAATCAAATGAAACAGGATATGCAGAACTCCCGGTAAAGTGCCTGGCACATAGTAAGCATCCAAGAAACGTATACCACAAAAATAACAGTGTACACTCCAATGTCTTAGTTTCTACCAAGAGCTGACTGTAAGATCATTAATTAGCAGTTTCATCCACTAACTGGAAGCTTGATATCCACTACTAAGTGGCTTGTCATCCACGAATCTGTCATTATCAACTAAGGAACAGCAAAGTATACATTCATTAACAGATAAAATCTGGGTCATTCTGACAGCGCTCAATCACTCAATCACCATCAAAGGCTGTAGAAATCCAGGTTACAGCCAATACTTCAGGCGAAGAAATCATCACGTCTTAGGGACAGTTTTCCAAGAGATGTATAAGAACTTCACCCTTTCCCTCGTGCTTTCTAGCCTGTACAGGTTAGGCAGGTGTGTGTGACTCTCCACTCCCAGACCCAATCCCTCTGTCTCTGTCCAGTGCTGAACAATCAAGGTAATCTATGGCAGGGATGAAGTGGGGAGGTAATCCCACACCTGTTCTCTGTTCCCCAGACTTACCTGCAGAGCTACAGCCACCACCATTCCTAAAGATACTCCTGTGTTTCTCACTTTGGAGTTTCTGCCCATCCACTACTACAACCCAGTGCTTCCGGGAAGAAAAATTAAACCCCAAATATCAACCATTCTCATCCATGAGACCTTTGTCTTTCTTGAAGGGAGTTAGAGAAAGAATGTAAGATTGCAGATAAAAGTAAAAACCACTGGGAAATCTCAAAATAGCAGCGTGCTAACTTTAGGGACAAAGGATAAAAAGAAGTCGTTAAGAGGTTTGCAGTGGGCTAAGGAGAGACGCTACTCACGAAGAACAGGTGAGGATGGCAGAAAGCAGGTGAGCCAGTGCTTGAGACTAAAGGAAGAAGAAAGAGATGATCATATGGTTTACTCCCCTACCTCTACTTTCTCTTCTTTTCTCCATATACCATCATGCTCCGGCTAAGCTCTTCACTCCATCCCTTTCCTTGTCCCAGTGGGGAGATGGGCAATTCCACATCAGGAAGGGATGCTTTTCTGGCAAATCTGAATTCAGGTCTCCAGAGAACACTGGTATATACGGTGGCAAGGGACCGCAGGAAACAGGTGGAGTTAAGACACAGGCGTTTGAAGACTGGCCTGAAAAACTACCTAGAGTGCCATTTAACAATTTTTTTTTTTTTTTTTAATGGGAAATGTACCCTGCGACTCTAAAGAAGCTCGAATAAATTTCAGGATGGTGAACATATTAGAAACTGTAAATATGTACTAAGTATTATGAACTATGGTTATAAATAAAAGAATCAAAGAACTTAAGATGAACTTGAGAAACACAATTCCCCGACCCAAGCAAACCTAATTAACTACATAAAGTATATATAAATAGGCTGGGCACGATGGTGCACACCTGTAATCCCAACACTTTGGGAAGCCGAGGCGGGAGGATCACTTGAGGCCAGGAGTTCAAGACCAGCCTGGCCAACATGGTGAAACCCCTGTCTCTAGTAAAAATACAAAAATCAGCAGGGTATGGTGGCACATGCCTATAATCCCAGCTACTCGGGAGGCTGAGGCACAAGAACTGTTTGAACCCAGGAGGTGGAGGTTGCAGTGAGCAAAGATCGCACCAGTGCCCTACAGCCTGGGTGACAGAGTAAGGCTCTGTCTTCCAAAAAAAAAAAAAAAAAAGTATACATAAGTGACAACTCCCAGGCACTCCAAAAGGTGAAAAATGTCTGTGGGACATAGGACTTAGGGCCACCTTCATTACTGAATGAGACTTCAGCAGGATCCTTGAAATACTGTTTCTCCAAAAGAATACAAAAGCTTTGTTTTTAGGGCAGAAACTGCTCCCCTCTGCCCCTTTACTACTTAGCTTTTGTTTCATTGTTGTTGTGTTGACATCAATAAGCAATCTAAGGACAGTATTCAGTTTTCAAGACCTGATACTCATTTCATATACAAGATTTTCTTTTCTTTAGGAAAAAACATTGAGGTAATTTTTCCCTTTAACATCATTTCTATCTAGGTTTTCAATATTTCTTTTGGCAAAAATCAGTTTTCTTTCCGATATTTTCACTTAAAATAGCTCATCAGTGTCACTATGAACCATAAACATTATCTGAAACACTTACATGACTTTCTCTGGGAGTAAGCCATGCTTTCGTCTTTTTCCCATGAATCACTTGACAAAAAGTAGTGGTAACAACAGGTATACTCACCATCCCATGGCAGAAAACCCAGGAGAACACCAGAAAGGAAAAGCTGTAGTTAACTGACATTTAGAGTTTGGTGCCAGCTACTAAGGCTGCCTTATCTTTAATTAGAAACCAAATTACCTTTGTCTGTTCACTGTCGGGGTCTTCAAGCCAGGCATAAGGGTCACAAATTTTATGTCCGTGATAATCCTGTACCTGTAGAAGACAAAATGAGGTATTAGATAATTACTCTCTAACCCCGATTAAAACTGGTATTTTTTTTTAATGTAATGGAGAAATACGAAAGGGATGGACAAAAATACTAATTGGCTCACTGGCAACATGTCTGCCCAAATTACCACATGAACCAAAGTTGGCAGGTTCTCAAAGGTGTCAAGCCACCCTTCATGAAAAGAATGTTTTAGCTAGAGAGGAAAGAAAGATGAAAGGTCAGAACAGGAAACCGCTCTGTCCCTACAACACAAAACAAAGACCTGCCACTGTGCTAAAGAAACTTGAAAACGTGCTGTCAGCAGCCAAGCACAGAATGACACAATACAGTGGACAATACAGTGGGCACACAAGAAGGGCACGTCAGGGAGCGGGCTCACACACACGTGCTCGTTCTCCTGTTCCACTGAGCTTCCCAATGATTCGAAAATCTCCCCGCAATATAGCCCAGTCAGTTTTGCTTTTAAGTCTAAACTGCCAAAAAGCAAGTTACTAATATGCAGTATAATGATTGTAATTGACATATGTTTAAAAAGCTGACTTAAATGCAATGGCAAAACATTTTAAAACTAATGCCTTTCTTCCTTCTTATTGTTATGAAATGCTTTTTTTTTTTAATGTTTACAAAAAGAAGGTGCAAAAGCATCACCCATTCAGGTTACCACGATATTGGAGGAAATAAAACTGCTTAATATAAGTAGAACCCAGCCAAAGGAAGCTTTCTGGAGCTTCTAAGGCCTGGCCTTAGAAGCCACCTGAAGGCATCTGAAGGAGCAAGTACAAGCAGTTTTCACCACTCCTCAAGTGATTATGCCAAAAGCATTATCCAGCAGTAAAAATCATTACAAAATCTCTCCACCTGATACCATCAAGATTAACCTCATTAGGGCAGGGTGTGGTGGTTCACACCCGTAATCCCAGCACTTTGGGAGGCTGAGGTGGGCAGATCACTTGAGGTCAGGAATTCAAGACCAGCCTGGTCAACATGGTAAAATCCTGTCTCTACTCAAAATTTAAAAATCAGCCGGGCATGGTGGCAGGTGCCTGTAATCTCAGCTACTCGGGAGGCTGAGGCAGGAGAATCTCTTGAACCCAGGAGGCAGAGGTTGCAGTGAGCTGAGACCACGCCATTGCACTCCAGCCCAGGCAACAGAGCAAGACTCCATCTCAAAAAACAAAACAAAACAAAAAGATTAACCCCATTAATGAAACCACACTGACAATATCTTGCCAATCAAGTCTCTGAACCACCCCAACATTCTGGTTAAGGCTTTTTGTATAAGGCTGTTGGGAAGACTACCTCTATCTCAGATGAATTTTTAATCTGTCTCCTTGCTTTGTTCTATAAGGCCAGAAGGTAAGGGCTATTTCCTAAAGAAAGCTCAGCGCTGCTCTAGTTGCAGTGTGGCTGCTGGCTAGGTGAGAACAATCTCCCTGGCCCTTACAACACTGGGCCCTCCACATCTGTCCTCGTCTGATGCCAGCTGAAAGAACTCCTGGGGAAATGCACAACTGGATAAATGGGCAGGTAAGCCAGAACACTCCGTATATATTCTCATTAAACAACTGACTGAGCAGGAGACATAAAAACAAGAGCAAGGAACTTAAAACCCGACTAAAGCCTCTCCTGATGGGTCTTCATAAAGTTACCAATTTTCAATCCTGGCCTCTCTAAATTTTAGCAGATTGTCACCACCGAACAAAAGCTTTTTATCCTTTTCTTCTCATCTTCAAGTCTTTTACATTTTACACACCTTGAAATGGTTACAAAATAGGCTTAAAATAACAATCTTCTTTTCCTAGCATTAAGAAATCAGAAAATTTTGAATTGTAAAGCATCTTTCAATCATACACTTCTAGGAGCAAGAGCGGGGCAAGGTTGGGTAACATGCCCAGAACCATACCAAGTTCAGAACCAGACCTGAGACTAAAGCAGTCAGCCCACCGTTTTCCCCAAACACTCATCAGAGGGGGCAGAATGGACACTTAAAAAATGTTCCTGGATTATGTTACTAAATTCAGGCATATCCAGAAATTTACACCAAGCAGCCCTATCTGCTCAGACCAGGCACCACCATCTACAGCAGATGGAAGTTATTGATCAGATATTTTTAACTAGGACAAGAAACTGATTCTCTCTAGGACAATTCCACAGTCAATCCCAGGAGTCACAACTCCCCACCTCCAATTTTTTCTAAGACCACACCCTACAAATGAGGTGGGTGTATCTTATAGCCACGTCCCTCGAATCAAATTCTTCCACCTGATTTAAGTTTGCTAATCATTCTTGATCTCCCCAAGAGCCTTTAAAAATAGAGCCCTGATAAGGTACTGTACTACTTAATCCTGTTCGACATTTGTACCGTTCAACAGTTCACCCACCACCTTCAAGACAAAGTGCAGACTCGTACACACAGCAGGCAGGACCTATCAAACCTATCCTGGTCATCTTTCAAGCCTCATGCAAGTTTATCCATCTACTGATGGTCTGGTCGGAATGGTCTTCTTGCCACCCTACAAACAAATGCAATTCTGCAACCATCCAGGACTGCCTAGCTATGACTTTATTTTAGTCACAGGATCAGGAATGTCCTTTGTCCCTTACCCAACTGGTCAACTTCCAGACTCATTTTACATAATACCTCCTCCTCCTGATGGAAATTAGTCCCATCCTATTCTGTGTTCTCCTCTCATCCTAAATCCTCTTCTATCAGAGTGTGAGTCCCCTGTGGTAGGCCTGTACTTCCGGATAGCAACTCTCTTAAGCAGTGGTCAATGGCATTGCACAAGAAGTGTCATGGCTTCCAAATTTCTGCCCAAAAAGGCAGAACTCCACCAAAACGGTTTCAATGCTCCAACACTTTCAGCAGAATACTGAGCATGTGGATGAAGGTGCTCAAGTGAAAGAGACAGAAAGCTACAGCAATCCCCAGCTGATACTGGGGAGAAACAAACCCATCCTAGAAACCAAAGGTTACAATTTAAGCAAACACCTAAGTCAAGCCTAGGGCTTAGTAACCAAACCTTAATGTTAAAAAAAAAAAAAAAAAGATACTCCACCGTAGGTTGAGAGAGCCACAGAACAGGATTCAGACTGGGCCAGAGCTGCATTCCCTTGGCCACGAGGCTTCGAGTTACCATGAGTTGTTTAATGAGAAGGAACTGGAGTGTATTAAAATCCACAGTATACCCTTCCGAGTTAATTGTTTATAATCTCTTAGATGTCTTCATAAAATCCCCACTTAAACCTTTCATGAACTATTAAATACAGATAAATAAACTGTAGGATTTAAGCACCCAGGGTGGTGAAAAACTAACAAGTAACTCTAAAAACAAACTTAAAACTGCACTTATCAAACCACAGAATGGGTAGTTCTTTATATTCTGAACCTCAAGAACCAGAACCAAATAGTCACATGTCTTCCCATTACTAGTCTGGAACACTGCAGAGCTAGACTGTCACGTGAATGAATGAATGAATGAACGACAACATTCCTACCGCAGAAGCAAGTAAGTCCTATGGTCAGTCCAAATATTTCACATAGAGAAAAAAGGCCCATAACAGGTAAGAGCTGCTAAAAGTCACCTAACTAGTGAATGACAGAACCAGAACTAGCACTCTGGTCTTTTCATTTAGTCCAGCCTCTTTCTCCATTCCAGCAGGATCACTTTACTCCCATATACAAAGGAAACAACCCTTTAAATCACAGGAATAGAGCTTCTTGAGCCGTTAGGGTAAATTTAATAAGCAAGCAGCTGAGCAGACTGAGAAAACATGGTTACCAGATGGCCACTGGTCAAAGAAACTATGAATGAATGCATCGGTGTCACTTGGAAGTCTTAATTTAAAACAATATGTACTTTAAAGCGTCAGCACCCTTTACCCCAATGTAACACGTGCTTTAAAGTAAACACTTTCTGGCATAAATCGGGAAAGTAAACAGAAAAACATTAAAACTGTGTTACACAAATACATACTCATTCTGATTATATTTTAAGTAATCTGAGAAATGTAGCTATTAGTAAGAGAATCATGGCCACAACATGTGGATGCAATCCAGTTCTTAAGACGTCAAATTCAGGTTTACACAAAAAAGGTGTCTGCCCAGAATTCCGCCTACTGGATCTCAACAGTTAGCTTGAGTTCATCTGCAGCTTAGGCAAATGGTGGTCAACTCCGCCACTAGATAAAACTTACTTATTCTGAAAAAGATCAACCCCTCTCCCTTCTAAGACCTCCTCTCACTCTCTCTCAACTCCTTCTCTTGTTTAAGAAAACATAGATCAGCATGGCCACACTATGGGGTCACTGCTCCGCCTTCCCCATTTCTGTCTGGGTCTCCGGCACCCCCAAGGCCCAATGCGCATCATCCGACCTGGGACAGGGTAGGCGCTCAACACACCTTTTAAAATCGAACGAATATACTTCAACTCTAAGGACTTTTAAAGTGTAAGTTTTAAAAAGTTTGTTTTCGTTTTTAAATGTGACATCATATCACACACACACGCACACACCAGCGGACACTTTCTCCTACCACCATATTTAAGCAAGAGGCTTCGCCAGTCAAAAAAGCAGTGACACCGTCTGTCTTCCCACTCCCTACATACACTTATTCCTACCCGGGCGTCTGCCCTTGACCCCATTGATTCTGGAAAGCGGCCGGTCGGCGCTGCCCACAGACTCCGCCGCCAGCACTAGCAGAGTGAC